TATAATACACATATTTTTGTTGAAAAAATCATTGGACATTTTATTTAATCGCGCAACGCACGGATAAAAAACTAGTAATTTACATAAAGGTAGATATATTTGGGAACGGTGTTACACTGTGATTCCATGTTAAGACTCAAGTTCCAGCCTAAAAGGTCAATCTTATAGGAGGTGTAGCCCAAATTCTTATATAATGCTTTATTATTTCATAGTTTTCCAGTGTGGGACAAAGTCTTTAATACAAACGTTAATCAAATATGTTCAAAGCATGTCAGATGAAACATCATTTGGTATTCTTGTGGATGATATTTGAGAGCTATCGGCTAGTTTTACTATTATTACCTTCACTCAATTGAAGGGATCAACGAATCAATTAACACATGATTTTCGTTAAAGCGGCTAGTTCGATGTCGAAATACTATGTTTGGCATTATTTTCCCTCTTCATTGTATTTCGTTATCTCTAAACCATGATTTTATTGATATAAGTTTATTTTAATTTTGTCAAAATCCGATTAAAAATATATATTACTCCATCCCAATTATTTTGCAAAGTCAGCATTTTTTGTTCAACTAATGTTAAAGTTAATTCATCTCTATTAATAATTAATTCAATTTTAATAATTAAAATTTGCATATTCAGAAACTGCATTAAAATATCTATGTAGTTTCAAAATCCAAATTAAAATTTAATCAATAATGGGAAAACTGTCAAATAGGTCCTCAAACTTTTATAAAAAAGTCAATTAAGTCCTTCTATAGGAGACTCTGTCCGGTCGTCTCGATTTGGGGCGGTTCCCGATGGATTTTTTTGATGAAATTTTTTGAGCATCTTATTCATCAAGTCTAGTTTAATCATACCAAATTTCAGCTAAAAATTAAATCGGGAGCGCATTCAAATTAATTCGAGAAGGCAAAAATGCGCAGTTATCTTCAAGAATTAATTTGAATGTGTTCCCGATTGAATTTTTAGATGAAATTTGATATGAGTAAACTAGACTTAGTGAATAAGATGTTCAAAAATTTTGATAAAAAAATTTCACCTGGAACTGCTCCAAATCGCGATGGCCGGACAGAACCTCCTATAGAAGGACTTAATTGACCTTTTTATGAAAGTTCGAGGACCTATTTGACAGTTTCCCCATCAATAATTGATATCCTAATCACAACTAAGGATGGCAATGGGGCGAGATTGGGGCGGGGGTTCACTCCCCCCATCCCCCGCCCCATATCTATATATTTTAATTATCTTATTTGTGTATTTTTTTAATCCATTATATATATAGCACTACAAGAGTTAAACTAGATAATATTGTATTCGATAAAAGATGATACCGCCAATTTTTAATAATTCTTCAATTTGAATAAGTTCTATGAAAATAATAAAACTAAAAATATAAGTAAACATATTACCATCATGTATGTCATTCCAAATTTCTCATCAATTATACTACAATTAATTATATATATATATTATACATAGAGTACTTATCTGATCAGGCGCACCTGTATATAAAGTGCAGTAAGTTTGAGGCGGTTATTCAAAAATTTTCATCAAAAAATTCCACTGGGAACCACCCCAAACGGGCAAGTCCGCATGGCGGTTCTGGTCAGGCGCGCCTGACTAGATAAGTACTCTATATTAGAATAATAAGTAATGACTAAAAATATTTATGAAAAATGATGTTCGGAGTATGAGTTTTAAAAGTGAGAAACTAAGTAAATAGAACACACACACACATATGTAATAATGAGAACTTATCTGGTCAGGCGCGCCTGACCAGATAAGTTCTGTTCTAATATAATACTTACACAGTATCAATTCATTAATCATGACTAATACACATATATACATGTATGCATGTCTATAAGTATGTGTATGTGTTTGTTATATAGTACATATAATTTAATTAAATATGTTTATACATTATTAATATATGTATGTATATATATCTACGGAGTATGTTTGAATATATATTTTTAACGGGTACGGGGCGGGGGCGGGGCGGGGCGGGTGTAGTAATCCTCATCCCCACCCCATATTTTAGCGGGGTAGAAATATCTCACCCATCCCCGCCCCCGCCCCATCCTTCCCCCGCGGGGCGGTTCCCGGTCCCCGCCTCCATTGCCATCCTTAATCACAACTCCTATGTATTCAATGTCGAGAAGATCCTAAACCAATCATCTTTAGTATAGAGTAAAGGAGAGCCATTCCCAAATACTTGGATCGAGGAGAGTATGTAAACCATTAGATTTGAGGTCTGAGGAGAGCCTAATCATCGGCTAAAGGAGCGCATGCAATCCTTCTTAATTGACAAGGAGTTGTTGGCCAAAGATCCTTGGTGGTGCTTTTGCTTGAGTTTGAAACAAAAATGATCTTTATACCCACTCTTATACTCACTTTTGTACCCACCTATGTTTGTAAAGTGTTTTTTTATCTATGAACTCCGATTCACAGACAATATTTTGCACAAACAAAATATTGTCTGTGAACTAGGTTCACAGATAAAAAAAATTTCACAAACATGGTGGGTATAAGGTGAGTACATCAAGCATTCTTGAGTTTGAAAAGACGAGAAGATAGTGAATTTGAAAATCCTAAACAGTGCCTTTAGGTGATGGAGTAGGGGTTACCAAATCATTATACATCATGTTGCCGTCTCTGCTTATACTTTATTTACTTCATACTCCGTATTTATATGTAGTCATGGACCCGGGCCGGCCCGGTTCCGGTCCAGGCCTGGCCGGGCTTTTTTTTTTTGGGGAAGGAAGGCCCGGGACCGGCCCGGGCCTCCGGTTCAGTCATTTTTTTTTTGCTTTCCTAACCCCCCCCCCCCACTCACCCCCACCCCACCCAAACCCCCAAACCCCTCCTAACCATCAAGCCCAACCCGGCTAACCCCAAAAAATGAAAATAAAAAAATCAATTCGGCCTGGGCCCGGGCCCGACCCGGCCGTGCCGGTTCGCCAAATACAAGGCCCGAGCCCGGACCCGCCCCCCCACCGGGCCTAGGCCCGACCCGGACCCGGACCCGGACCCGAGAACCGGGCCGGTTCCGGGCCCACACAGTGGCGGGCCGGTCCCGGGCCGGGCGGCCCGAACCGGGTCCATGCCTATTTATATGTATTTGATTGTTTGAACACGCACCAGATCCATCTCTGCTTCCGTTGGAATCCCTTTCACAAATTTCAAATGTTGATGTAATTTATTTTCCCGTTTGTTTTATTTTTCTTGTACTTGAAACTTTTTACTAATAAAATCTGGTAGTGTTCCCTAACAAAAAAATGTTTGAACACATCAACGACCTTGAAGTGTCCCTCTAAGATTCAATTGCTCAAATGAGTAAGAGACTGTTGTATCATTTCCGGCCTACAACAATTTTCCATAAGTGCGTTTATCAAAGACAATATAATCACTTCCATTTTCTGCAACTTAGGGAATGCAGTTTTGTTCACCCTCTTCAAAGTAGGGTGGCGGTCATCCCCTTCTAGGTTGCTGCCATGTGGCAATGTAATTTTTTCTTCTTCAAATTGTTATAATCTTTTTATTTGTGATCCAATCTTTATAAAAATATAAATTAAGTTAAATATTTTTGTGATCTTTTTAATGGTATTAGTATTGAATATAAAGAAAATTGATTTCTTTTCTAAAAACTCCATCCATCTCAAATTGAGTTGCAAAATTCACTTTTTGGGTCAAACAGATTCATTTTATTCACAAAAACTATACATGTAAAAGTATATCAAGAGTTAAGAAAGGGCCAGAAGTGAATACAAAGGCTCCTGATCCAGCCGCATTGAAAGATGAAGTTTAAGTGCTTGCTTATTCCACCCTTTTTTGGTGAACCTTAATACTTTACTTCTAACTATTTTGAAGAGCCATACTAAGGGTGAAGTATTAAGAAAAAGTGTAAGAACGAATTTACGCTGTACTCACAAGTGTTTCACCAAAAAAGCTAACCTCAATGCTACAAACAATTACAAAAAAAACAGATGTATTATACACATGGTACACCCAGTTGTGGCGTATAAATTGCCTATTATTCATGTGCATTCTTGCCTGAGTTGCATCTAGAGCAGCCTCTTAGGTTAACTATGCGGCCGGTTCTGGCCCTAAGGGTGGGGTGTGGTGCTTTTTCCTGTTTTTATCCATGGATAAACTTTGCCTTATTTTGGTTCAGGTATCAGTCAGGTCATAATGTGGTCAAGAGACAGTCCTGATCTATGAAGCACGGATACTTCCATAGGATAGCGTATCAGCGTATCCGATACGTTCCCATATCCGATACTCTAGGATACCCGTACCGTACGTTCCCGGGTCATATCTGCAATTTTTAAAAGTTTCCATTTTTTTTGTAATTTTTTGAAAGTTTCCGATACTCGTATCCTGACGGATACCCGTATCAACTTTTTTTAAAAAAAAAACAAAATTTACTTAATAAAATTCTAAAAAAAATGAAAATCTAAACCACATTTTACTTGGTAATCAAATAATGGGCCTATATGGCTATATCCAAATTAAGTCATTAACTCATACTCCGAATTGGGTACTTGCACTTTAAATTTCAAGATTGTAGTTGTTTGATTTATTTCTCATTTTAAATTAATGACTTATTGAATACATTTATATTTCGAGATGCACTAGTGTATATGAGAAATATTATGAATTTATTACTAAGTATCTTGAAAAAGGAAAATGCTTCAATGCAATGAATGGGTAGACATCATAGAATATTATATGTGTGTATATATACATATATATTTAAAAAAAAAATCTATTTTTAATATTTATAAACAGACCCCTATAACTTTTAATAATTGTAAATACACCCCCATAACTTTTAATATTTATAAATATGGCCCCGTATCCGTATCCTACTTTTTTTTGTTTTGACGTATCCTCGTACCTGTTTCCGCGTTTCCGCGTACCTGTATCGGTGCTACATAGGTCCTGGTCAAGCCAAAGACGTCCAATAATATATAGAACGTATGCAAGCCATATAAAAGCAAGCACCTCTTAAAAACTTTCATGCAAACGGGCTGCCCCAGGATGGAGATCTTTGGTTCACTCAAATTTTAGATTTTTCAAGTATTGTTTGACAAAATCTCAGTAAGAACAAATAGTAATAATAATAATAATAATCTATCAAAATAATAATAATAATAATAATAAAAAGGTCAACTGTGATGTGTCCACAACATAGGCCAGAACTGCAACCGCAAAGATTAAAAGAAAAATAAGCTTACACCACACACGTGTCCTGGTTAGTGTAGGAATGACAAGCTGAAGTCCAGCTCAGCTTTCTTTAGCACAGATATCACCCTGTGAAAGAATTCTGGCTCTCTGTCCTTTATATCTTCCAGCGACTTGGACTCGTGTTCTTCAGCCTAACCATGCAAAAATAAGAGGCTCTCTGCTGATATATTTCTAAAACAATAGAATGAAATACTGTCTCCGCAATATTCACATCATTAAATAAGCGACTATACAATAGTACCTCGTTAAATCTTAAAAGGATCAAGTTCGCCACAGATGCTGGCTTTCTCTTGTCCCATCTGAAATATAAAACTCGCATATGATTCAATCAAAGTCAACGTATGAATTTACGTTTTGTCTACCAAAACCAAATTTGGGTTCAGCTTGTTTCCAGGGTAATCAAAACCTTTTATAGAATTTCCGGACAGTTGAAGGAAAATAATTCACAAAGAAAATCCGTAAGAGAACAAAAGATACTTGTGCGATGAAAATATATTCTAGATACTTGTGCGATAAATATAATTTATTTATTTCAAATATATATTCCTTTGTACTTTCAAATGTACCAAACACAAATACCATCTGTGGCATTTTCCCTCCTTATCCATAGCATTCTCCATTATCCGGACATCCCATTGAACTCGTGTACAAAACGACTTGCAGTTGTGTGCTATTGTTTAGATTATTTATTATTCTGTGTTAAGCACCATATTGTACAAAACTAAAAGGAGCCTAATAATAAGAAAATCACCAGTTTAGCATCGCCCCCTACCTCACAAGCATCAATTCATTGATTGAGCGCCACATTGCACGTCCAACATTTTTAACCGTTAGATCCCTTGCACTTCTCCCATGCCATAACTCTTTAGCAACATACATAACTTCTTCTACATCCACCTTTACAAGTGAAACATATAGGTTTGTAAACACAATAATCAAATATTTCTGGGAGAAACTGACAACCAATAATCCCTACACTTATGCATTTTAGAAAAATAATCCTAAGTGGCTGATAACAATGATCTCAACTCATCAACGACATCACAAAATTGAACCACAACCTAAAAGTATCAACTTCCCATTAATTTGGTAGACTTCTGTGAAATTGTTAACATATTGAGATTGTTTTTTTACTTCTCATTAAACCTGGGGTAATTGTTATCCAAATTTAAACTCTTTGAAAAATATGCATAAAAGTGTAGATCATTGGTGTCAAATTCACCTTTTTTATTTTTAATGACAAAAAGTTCCACAGATATGTATATTCGATTTATTGTGGTTCCAAAATTTCTGCAGGGTACCTAATTCTCCACTAGGAACTAAGCTTCAATAACCATTAAGAGTCAGTATATTAGCTTCATTTGAGAAAAATAGCAAATAAAAATAATTACTAATTAACATAATACCACATGACACATGCCAATTTATTTAACCAGTCCAATAACTGAAAATAGTTAAGTCGCTTAAAAAATCTTAAATAGCTACTAAAATAATCTTAAATTCTCGGAATTCTTGTATATTTAAATTTAATCAAATGGGACAGCTTAAAAGTTCTGAGAACTTGAGACTATATATAAATACGTAGTGTGTGTGTGTGTACATTGAGCGTCGGTACCTCAACTTGCATGGATGTTCCATATATCAACTCTTCATGCTCAATGAGACGCTGGTGCAATGTATGGTAATGATCTATGTCGAAATTGACCACGGGCTCCATCTGAACTTTGACCCCAGCAAGTTGTGTCACAACGTATGAAGCCATGACTTGCCCAAAAATTGCGGGTATCTGTCCTAGAACTGGAATGATCCGAACCCTGAAACCGGGTACTATCTGATTATATCCAAACGTCATAGTTAGAATTCAAAAGAAATGAAAGTTAATACCCAATTTAATCTCTCGAGTACACACTAGACTTAGTTTGGTGCTCCATTATGCAACTTAGACATAATTTATTCCTCATACGTATTTGGCTCTAAGTAAAGGAAGGTAGTTTGACCATTAAATAAAATCTGACCAAATTTAGGTTTCAATTTTGCCTTTAGCAATGCAAGTTGAGTCCAATTGGGTTCTCATCGAATAAAATACCCTTTATAATTAGAGTGAAATGCATGTGGTTTATATTGAGGCAATTGAGGTCTGTGACAATAAAATTGGAACCCATTTTAAATATTTGATAAAACAAGCCTTCATAATTAGAGTAAATTATGCATGAGATTAAAATTGAGTATAAACTACAAAGTCGAGGTCCAAATTGAATTTACAAGAAAGTTGATGATTATATTGAGTAAGAGTATACAGGTGAGCAATGAGGGACTAAAGCGAATGTAAAATCCACTTATTAAGAGAGAAAATTAATGAATTCACACTATAAAAATAAATAAACACCAAATCGTCTACAGTAGTAACAGCAGGTGTGATACTAGCCAGGAATTTGTGGCTTAAAATGGCATTTTGTAAATAGCTAGTGGTTAAAATTTGCTAATGAAGTGCAAAAAGGTGGCAATTCTAGCTACGTATAAAATACTTGGATAGATTCATAGATTCCATTTAACATAGCTCTACCAACAATAAGTAAAAACCTTACTTGGTAATCTGATGGATTCTCTTCCTCTTCACTTGTTCCTTTAAAGGGAAGCAGTTTGACTTTAGGTTTTTCTAATGAGAATACTACTGGAATGCCACCATCAATCCCATGATCTTTCCTCAACCGATGTCTTACCTATATCATCAACAATGAATAGCAAATGAATTAATTTGAGCAAATGGACTATAGAAGCTAGAGGCACACTTTTTCTATTTCTTGTGTCCGATAAGAACAAAGTTGATCGAAAGTCAATTACTGATAAGAATTGAAGAGTGAGTAGTCATTAAGTCTTACGTTTTCTACTGTTGAGAGTGAAACATTTCCCATAAGTTATTTTTGTGAAAGAAATCCACTCAAATCAGTTTTATTTTTAACTTGCTAAATTGCCAAATTAATGCTATACAACAGTAAGTAAACACAATGCATAGACTACAGTCACTTATTACAGCTCGAGATAGTGGATCATTAGTTGACTCTCTCAGGTCAGCCACACGTATTCTAGTGGGATCCATTCGTGCCCCAGCTCCTGTTGCGGAAATTACTTTTAAACCCCGACGCACACATGCAGCAAGAAGTGACACCTGAAGAAATACATGGATTAAAAAAATTGGGAAATGGAAAATGTAAAAATCATTGAATGAAAATTGATAAAAATGAAAATAAGTAGAAAAGAAGGTACCTTTGTGTCAATGTTATCAATACAGTCCAAGACAAAATCAGGATTGCCCGAAAGAATTTCTTCTTCAGAAGAGGAATCATATAACAGAACTCTAGCATCAACACGACACTCTGGTAAAATGGACTGGAAATGTTTCTCAAGGCAAAAGGCTTTAGGGGTACCAACATCCTCTCTTGTTGCAACGGCATGTCTGTTCAGCGATGAAACTGTCACCTTAAAATGAAAGCAGTCAGTGTGAAGATAACAAGCAAGAATGAAAATAAAATCACCGCAATGCCAGTTGTTCAGATAAAGTGTGTTCATGTTAAACTTATATTGAATCTTATACCTTATTTTCAAGATCCAAATAAGCTACCATCCTGGTTTGATAAATAGAATAAAAGCCTATTATAAATTACAATTTTCAGCTCCTAGCTAGTGACTTTTCAGGTCTGAAACTCTGAATGTGAAATAGACCCATACAGTATTAAGAACATCCCAGATGCCCCAAATTTTGGAAAAGGGGAAACAGACCTGGTTATTGCTTATATTGACTGCAAGAGGCAAGTTTGTCACGTGAGTATGTAAGAATGTAATGATTGTGAATCTTTATTCTGTTGTTTCTTAAGCATTGAAAAAAGGGAAAATGAGGAGTGATGAGGTTTAAGATAAAAGACCCTTATGCCAGGTGTGTATGTTGCCCAAATGTCTGCAACTTTTATTCACATCTAATAAATAAAAGAATATACTGTAGGGGGTGGTAAGGAAAACATATTCAGAAGAGCGTTATTCCTGTGAACCAAACGGGCCACTGCATGTGAAATGGCATTTTAGCCCAGATTGAGCTCATTGTAAAACCAAAATTAAGTGCAAGTGACTAGCGATGAACAAGAATTCAGTTCCATCAATTTGTTCAAACTTAAAAGGCATTCCTGTTGGTGGTCGGAGGGGACTCAACATTACACTACATTACATTACATTACATTACATTACCTGGTCAAAGTCCACAAGCAGTAGCCTGCCAACTCCAGACCTCAAAAGCATAGCTGCAGCATGACTCCCAACTCCTCCTAGTCCAATTACCACAACATATGATGCAGTAACTTTTTTTTGGGAGTCAAGCCCAAAGAATTGAATATTCCTAATGCAATTTAAAAGATAATGAACAATGTTATCATAGTGCATAAATCAAAACTCATCACAAACATAAATACTAAAGATACACATATGACTAGATGAGTTTATTGGACTTGGATTAGAATACCCGATCAATGGGTTTGTAACACATTAGGGTTAGACTAGCTAATCCATTGGATCCAATATTTAGTAGGTTTTGATCCATGTACACTATGACTGAATTAAGTGACCCTGCACTAGTTATTAATTCTAGAAATAATAGTATACAAGTCCTACTCTAAGTCTCTAACAAAATTCACTTCATACCTGGTTAACTGTTCACAGACTACTTCATCATTTAGCAAGTCAGGAGTTGTCATATGAGGTTTTTTTCCCTGGACAAGATTAGGACCTGAGGATATTATGGAGATAGATATTGCAATTAGGGGTATACATGTGTTTCAAATCCTGATCCAAGCAAAATGAAGATTTATGGGATCAAAAAATGCCAATTACTCACTGCTTGTAATTTTTTTTAGATAAAGAAAAAGTCTACAGCAATACATAAAAAGAACAAATTATGTCAAAAGCAATGTTACAATTTGATTTAGATGTAGTTACTAGTTAGATAGATTTTATGAAAATCCAATAGTTTCTAGGCTAAAAAAATACACTTGTAACCCTTTGTAATTGTGAATCATCACGTATCTAATTTACTTTCCCTATGTGAACAGAAATTTGCTTTTAACATACGTACTAATTTAGCATTTGTTTTTTAACTAGTTTATATGTCCACAAAATAGTACCAGTAAGCCAAAGGAGGGCTCAGCTCATTCTGAAAGCATATATCCTAGGGGCATAAAAGTGAATTGGAAATGAAAAAATTCTTCTCCAATGGATACAACAATAATAAATGGAAAGAAAATGCAGATTTCATACGCTGATCTGTTTTACCCAATTGACATTATACAGTGACTGCCAAGATTTAATGAGCATTTGTCAAGTTGCCGAAAATGTATCAGGATTATTGGTTTTAGAAAAAATACCATTAGCTTTAATTGGCCCTTTGATATCCTCATGTGTAACCAACCTGCAAAAATAAATGTAAGAAAATCATGAGTGTGAAATATTGAATTATGCAGTCCCAGTGTTTAACAAATAAAGAAGATGGGTTTACCTGGGGAAAAGCTTCAAGAGAGGAACAGTAACAGCAGAGCCCAGTAAAGCTCCAGCTCCAATCAAAGCTATCAACTTCAATTTCTCTCCCATCACACTTTCCAGTTTAATGGGTAATTGTTTCTGAGTGAAAAGCAATTTGGTAAACAATGGTCCAATATGTTTCGCAGTCTGTGCACGCTATTCATTCCAATAATACGAGTATTTCGCAATGAGCAATTGTAAGAGCCCGTTTGGAGAACTCTGTTTTCGGCTTATCAGGCTTATCAGCCAGCTTTTTCACCAAACACGTAACTTTTACTTTCGCGCGCTGAATTGTGTAATAAGCCGAAAAAGTAAGGTTGGAGTTACTTTTCTGGCTGTATTGGCTGAAGTTACTGTAGAGGGCCATTTTAGCTATTTTTACATATAATTTTTTCGTTAATTTATTAATAAAATATATTTTTAAAATATTTTTTTCTTAAATCAGCAGAATCAGCCAAAACAGCCACTCCAGCCAGAATATCATAAATTTCAGCAGAATCAGCCAAAACAGCCGATTTTGGTGCTACCAAACGGGCTCTAAATACAGCTGCCGGCTCAAAATACGCATCTCAGAGGACTAGCGGACCATTTAGGGGTGTTTGAAACTCATTCTGCTTCTGCTTCTTTTTTAAAAGCAGAAGCAGAATCAGAATCAGTTTTCAGAAACTGGTACCCCCCAGCTTCTAAAAAAACTGATTCTGAGAGTAAATTAGAGCTCCAGAAGTGCTTCTGGAATTTCACCCAAACACTCCAGCTTCTGCTTCTGCTCCTTGAAGGAACAGAAGCAATTTTGAGAATCAGATCCAAACACCCCCTTAATATGATTAAAACTGATTCTGCTCTTAGGGAGACAAAAGTTGAAGTGTTTGGGTGAAAGTGTTCGAATTTATTCCTAGAATCAATTTATTTAGAAGTTGGGGGAGACCAGCTTCTGAAAAGTGATTCGAATTCTGATTCTGTTTTAAAAAATAAGCAGATTCGGAATTAGTTCCAAACACCTCTTAATATGCTTGCACATCTTACACGCAGTCTCATTTTCTCTTACAATTTTTATGTGTAGGATTTATACATCTTTATATTAACTTTCATTTTTTCTATCACAGTTAATCCACTTTTCATAGACTTTTACTTCTCCAATCTTGTGTAAAATCAATGTATGGACATTGTTATACACATTACCTATAATTTATTTCTATTTCTCTCCTCGTTTTCATGTTTCCTACACATCACTTTCTCTATATTAAATCAAAATAATCATCATATATGTATCTCTTTCCTATGCCGAATAGGATGTACTACACTCCAGTAAACTATCCCATTGGAGATGCTCTAAGAGCATCCTTAATGAGGATGTCTACTCTCTAATACTCCCTTGCACTTGGGTATCATTTTTAGAGTAATGATATAGGTACCCCAAAATACCGCACTTAAATGTGTTGCCCCATTTGTGGCCACACATTAGGGTGAGGTGAAAATGGGGTACCCCATTTTGGGGTAGCTTTAGCATTTTGGTCATTTTTATGTCGCAATTTGTATGATGAGTAGGATGTTTACGTTTAACTCATTTATCATCCATTTTTATTCTTCCAACTTTAAATCAGCTGAGAAATAAGAAAAATAAAAATTGTGTGGTTGAAGTTTGTGTAGTGGAAAGAAAAATGAGCATAATCACAAATTAATTACTTTGATTGGAAAATGACAAAGTTTATTGGACTATTAAAAAAGAAGGTACGCAAAGTACCTTGTGGTCTGATGGCATCACCATTGATCTCTCAAAGAGAAGGTCATGGGTTCGAGTCTCATCCCAATCAAGGATGTTGACATTAACTAGAGTAGATACTATAACGGGTTTAGAAGGATTTGCAAAAAAAAGAAGGTACGCAAAGTCTAATAAGACAGAAGTGGTATACTTCATTTACAAGGACGATAATGTGTCTCCAGGCATGGGCCCGGTTCGGGCCACCCGGCCCGGCCCGGCCCGGCCCGCTACTGTACGGGACTGGCCCGACCCGGTGCTTCAGGTCTGAAACCGGTCCTTGACCCGGTTTGAAGGCTTAAGCGGGCTACAGAAATGGGGACCAGAACCGGCCGGGCCCGGGCCCGGTTCGGGCCATTTTTTTTTTTCAGTTTTTTTGGGTTTCCCCGGGTTGGGCTTGATGCTTTTTTTTTTGGGGGGGGGGGGGGGGGTTGGGGGGGGGGTCAGGGGGTAGTTAGGAAAGAAAAGAAAAATTACAACCCGGCTCGAGGCCCGGGTCTGAACCGGCCCGACTCCATGCATATGTGTCTCATGATTAATAATATAAGAGAGAGTAATTATACTGGTTAAACCGAATAACCGCTTGTGCTGAGGTTATCCATCTTAATTGAATTCATTAGATGACTAGTGGATGAATTAGATAAAACAACTGAAACCTGAGATTTTCGTTGTGACAATCGAGAATACCCACCTCAGGTTACAAGTTATCGTTCTTAATTGATTTCAATAAATCAACAGAGTGCTCCTATTAAGATCAACACATGACTCTTGTTCTTCATTGACTAATAGTAAGAGTTATTAATAAACTACATTGATGATATACGGACAATTTAATCTCCAAGATTAAATATTCAAGAGGGGAGAGTTAAAGTACTAACAATGATCAACGAGCACTTCACTGAGTGAAAAATAGTAAAATCAAGGTTGATTACATTTGATATGTTAATACAATCATCTTAGTGTTTTATTTACTTTCTCAACTATCACTATATCCAAACCCTTTTTCATTTACTTTGATTTTTAGGCTTACACACAAGCAAAAATCACATTTCCATGTAAATACGAACTCTATTATAGCTTTAGTGCTTATAGATGAATTTATTTTAAAGGATTTTAGTGCAGTCAGCATCTAAGATAGACTAAATTGCACTACACTATCTCCTTGGAGATGCTCTAACAAACTGTCTGATTGCCTCATGTATACTATGTACTGGATCCAATTATTAATATTGTTTCATGCAACTCAACCTTTGCCTAGGCCAGCCAAATATATATATATATACTAGTTTTCAACACGCGCGTTGCGCGATGGAATAAAATGCCCAATGTCCCTTTTAGTTTTTAGTGAGAAATATGGAGTATATATTGTATGTTGATTTAATATAATTACTTTTTGTGTCTAACATGTTAGCAATTGTATCATCTTTAAAATAGAGTATTTAATGTTCCTTCACACTAAAGAGGACCCAAGAATAAAATAAAAAGAAATGCAAAGCCTCATACGAGCTAGACTCTATTTTCCTAGTTTCATAAAAAAACATGATAAGCATAATGAGAAATATCTAGTAAATATCAAACTATTGGTGGTTCTTATGCGATCTAAAATGTGGCCTTCACGTGATAATACATGAGATATAATATGAAAGGTATTGTAAACGAAGAACAAGATAGATATAAGATTCACTAATATGCAAGATAAGTATTTTTACTGTTCCAGAGAAAATAGTGACTTATTGAATATTAATTCTTGTATTTCATATGTTTGCTTCTATTAAAACAACTTCACAAATCACCATCAATTGTTTGGATGTAGGTTGATCAAGAAGATCAATAAACTATCAGTTACAAATCTTCAGTAACAAATATTTGTAGTTAAACTTTAAATATGCATTGTTTTATTTTACACTGTGGGCAGTCTTGCCACTTCTAATGTGCAATATTACTCATCAAATACGATGAGCCCATATTTCAGTACTACCTCGATCCAATTTTTTTTTTAGTTATTCTATTTATCAAATATTTATCGGTAAATAGTACTACCTCTATTCAATTTCATGATTTTTATTTTTGTTTGGCACAATTATTAATAAATATTTATAAACACCATTGAGTGTTATAAATATTTATAAACACCAATGTCTATAATAAATATTTCATAATATTTAATAAATATAAATGAAAACATAAAGTGGACAAAGATGGAAAGTAAAATGAATACCCTTCTCATCTGTCTTGGTAGCAAAAGTCACCCTCATTTCTTCTTTTTTTCACTTTCTTCTCGTGGTCGCTGAATACATTTTTTCCTTTTTTAATTTGTGAAATTGTGTTTTTCACAAATCCACCATATTTATCTACTATGTTTAATCAAATATTTAATATGAGTTCTTACTTTGACAAGGAATGTATCCATTTTGTTTTGATTTTAGGGTGATTCTTTGAAGGTAGAAATAATATCGATTAAGAACCCGTTTGGTAACACCAAAATTGTCTGAGTTGGTTGATTTTGTTGAAATTTACTAAGTTCGGTCTGAAGTGGCTGATTGACTGATTCTGTTGATATCTGAAAATTTTAAATTCAAAGCATATTTTATTAATAAAATAAATAAAAAAATCATACGAAAATAGCAAACATAATCATCTAGAGTAACTTCAGCCAATTAAGTCTGAAAAGCACAAAAACAATGTCACATACTATTTATAAAAAATCCATGTAATAATAATAATAACAATAATAATAGTAATAGTAATAAATAATTATAATAATAATAGTAATAATAATTATATATTAATAATAATAATAAATTGTTTATATTTGACATTTTACATACCTTCTTACACCAAAGAGAGTGAGGGAGAACGTTAGTCTTCAACAACGTTCTTGCAATTGAGATTTAGGCTACAACCGTTTGTCCGTTTCAATTGAGATGGGCACCACAAAAATTTAATAGGCCAAATTAAATTAAATGAAACTATTAAATGAGAAAAATAAATCAAATACTCTAAGACGGCAATATCAACGTGAAGTCAAGGAAGAGACGGCTAAGAGCTTGGTTTTTAACGGAAGTAAGAGACGAATACATAAATACAAATATGTGGTATAATGATGGAAGCATAATGTACAAGAGCATGTAGCTTTGCGTTACACCAACACATTTAATATACCAAATATACCCTAACCCTCATTGGTGTTTATAATATTTTAGATATATATATATATATATATATATATATAAACATATATACACATACATAGTATATTAATCGAAAAACAAACCACCAAAATCGGTGGAATAAATAACAACAAACATTTAACAAGTTTTTTACGGAGTAGTTAATAACAATATACAAAAGGAGAGGAGTACTTGAAATCAAAACCTCACTAGAAGAGACATCTATTTGAGATACGAGAATAATAGCAATTAAGTGAAAAAGAAATTAAAGGAATTAATTAAATAACAAACATAATGTTTTCAATAACAAAAAAAAACATAATGTTGTGCCAAATTTCAAAAAGTAAACAAAACGAAGTTCAACAATAATGGTCCAATAAATAATTGTTCTGATGTTGGGAGATTATCAAATATTAAGTGTAGGGGCAGCAACTCTATTATTACTAATCACAACCCTCAAATTAAATATGAATAAATAAATTTAGTTTTGATATCTAATCTATCCTTATGTTTTGATCATTTGTAATGGAGCGAAAGATTCACTATTTTTTGGCTTGTGAATATGATGAAATAAAGCAAAATGACTCACTAAACTGTCTAGCATCTTTGTTATGAAATATCAGTCAGTTCATGCAATTTCCGACATGACTTTCATCTTGGATCATCCGGAAACAGTCTCTCCGTACTTTAGTACAAGGTAAGACTGCGTACGTCCGACCCCCTGCTCCACGGTAGGTGGAAGCCTTTGAGGCACTGGAGTAATGATGATGACGACGAAGGATGATGATGATCTAACTTATCCTTATAATAGTACAAAGTTGGAGAAATTGTTTGGCAAAATTATTTGTTACTACCAGGTCTTCAAAATGTCTGCTCTTAAAATTCACAGTACCACAAGTGACAATTTGATTTGTACTTCTTATCACATTTAGTCCACCTAAAGTCTAATGCTGACTTCCTTACATTGAAGTGTTGATTTTGGCTGCTACTGTTTTCACTTGTCCAGAATTTAATATGTGTTTATAATTAAATCTGAAATCTTTCTCATTAAATTGGAAATCGATTCAATAAAATATATTTCCTCCGTTCCATATTAATTGCAACAGTCAACATTTCACGTTTGCCAATGCATAGATTTGACCATTAATATCTCTCATTCCTTATCAATAAAAAAATTAAAAAATTCATATTTTGAAATTTTAGAATGAGAAGAATTTAACAATATTTAACAAAAAATTAATTTATAATACATTAATTAATAGAATATGTGAATAGAGCAAAAAGTCTAAAGTTGGAACTAAAAGAGAACAGAGGTAGTAGGAGTTTGTTGAAATGATACGGAGTATGAACTACTTGAAGAGATGAAGGAGCTTTCCTCAACCCCTCAAGTAGAATTGTGCTCCACTTTGTTAGTCCTCTCCAACATAAATCCTTTGTTAGTTGAGAAAGTCAAACATCAAACTCTAAGCATTCTGCCTCCGTTTATCAGTCAAATGGAATTGATGCCTCTATCCTCAATCCTTGGCATTTAATTTTTTGTTTACTGACTACATGGGTTTTCTACCGTGCTTAGACAGAAATCCTCAAAGTGAATGCATATGTCTCAAATAGTTCTATTCAATAGAGAGAGCTAAGCGTAGATTAATAATTTACCACTTGCATAACATAACAAGTTACAACATAATAATAATAATAATCACCCAATATCACATCAATTTAGCTGATTAAATTTAGATCGATCACCAGCCTTGCAGGAATCAAACTTTCATTGTGATCCGCAAAGAAGCATCAGAGTTCGCAGCATATGTAGGCTGCTTCATTTTTTGTGTTGAAATCAAAACGAAACTAAAGAGCGAAACCTTTGAGATATTCCGGGTCACGTTTGGCCCGTTCTTGAAATTTCTTGAACCACCTGTCCAGAATATCCATGGGAACCACTAGCCTGCTACCATCCACACCGCAAAACGACTGCATGAAATTGAACAAGTTCTCACCCACTTTCATGGCCAGCCTCTCGATCTTCTTCTCCGCGGCCACATCAAGTGACGGCAGCGTGGCTAGTTCCTCAACCGAGACGCCGATCTTAGCCGAGAGCGGTGTGGCATCCGCCGTGAGCTGGAGTTCCCCGCCCGGTTCTGGCCACGGCAATGTTAGCACCGCGGAGGGGCGGGCCAGCGTCACAGCGCCGCAGAAAAAGAACGGCGATCCCGGCGATTGGATGTACACGGCGAGAGCTTTATCCGGCGGGAGCGTGAAGTTATTCAATAGGAAGATGCAGACTTCACGGATTGAGTCGTACGCTTCCCCTGCGACAAAATCAGAGATCCGTTAATGTCACTCGGACAGTAAATTCCGCGAGAGGGGAGAGGGATTAACTTACCGACGAAGGTGTTCATATCGAGGAGCCAGTGGGTGGTGTCGATTTGAGCGAAGGTGGATATGTCCATAGGGAAGCTCCGATTAGGGAATACTACTCCAAACATTCTTCAAATGTCACTCTTTTGTTCCAATTCTCGTCAAATCTTTCTCCCGATTTAACACCAGCAAGAGATAAAATCGTGCTCTGAAAGGGAGATGATGAAGATTGACTAAATCGCAGCTCGAGAGGGAGAAGAAGGTGTATAAGTGGAAGGAATACCTTCGACCATCCGTGGAAGTCACTGGAAAGTTCCAATGTCATCGGTCATCTCCGTTTTTATCACATTGGAACCATCATTCCATCAAGGATTTCTTTCGTAAAATAGGCCCAATAAGTAACCAAACATATCCATATTAGCTGCAGAATTTATGTATTATTTATATACTCTACTTTGACTATATTTTATTTACTAATACATGTGAATTTTATTTTTTGAAAATATTGTTGAATTCCTCTCATTACAAAGTTTCACAATCTGATTTTTAAAATGTTTTTACTAATAGAGAATTAAATATAATGACAGTTAAAGTTGTGTGTTCGCAAACGTGAAAAAGAAAATGTTGCAACTTAAAAAGAAGGAAGAAAGTATTTTTATTCGGATTTTTTTTAGTGGAGAAGGCTAGTATTGAAGTATTGATGTATCAAAAACTCGCAGACCTACAATAACACAAGAACTCCCAATTCGGTCACAAACTCTACAATTAGGAGAAGAGTTATTTGTGCTTGAAGGAGCTCAAAAACTCGCTAACCACTGAACGTGCACGTTCACTAAAATAACTCAATGGATGAACTTGCACTCAATCATAGGCTACCCTAATGTCGTAGGCATTGTTTGCTACGAGTCGTAGCAAACAAAAACGAAAACAACACAACGGTAACAACACGATGTTGTCTGAAAAACAAAAATGAGAAACATAAATGTGCCAAGCTGCACCTCGAATCTTCAGTTTTTCTGGCGAGTCTATTGTCCAAAACTCGCCCCAACCCCATCTTTTCTGCTTACATGTTCAAGTTTCAACACTGTCAAACCATTCTTCATCTCCACTTCCGTCAAAAGGCTATAGATTTGATCCGCCATAGCCATCTCCTTGTGCCTTCCCGCATCTATATACTCACGCAAGTACGTGGATAACCTTCTTGTTCCCTCGCTACGCAACACCGACACACCACGGCCGCCTTGACCTCCCTACATTCAAATTGCGACAGTTATGGACGCCCCAAAGTAGAGATCACCTCCTTCATTAGCCACCCAACATCCAAAAGAAGAGGAATCAAACCAATCTAGTGTTGCCGACATCAAAGCGATCGGTGAACACCGGCGAAAGAACTCGCCGAACAATCAGTCGGCACCAAAACTTCAACCTTAGTGAGGGTTACTAGACCCTCTCTAATGAAAAAAATAAAAAGCTAAAGCGGGTAATCTATTACTTTTTTTTAACTAAATCACCAAAATAAATGCGGTGTCATTTACCAAATTTTATCAAAACACATAAAAAATACAAGGAAAATAGAAACTAATATTTCCACATTTTACTAGTCTTCCTATAACGATCCTACCTAACCCGGCTCATAATAATCTCACCTTTGCACCTCATTTTCGTTTGTCCCTTACCGGTTGATGACTTGTTATTCCATATTTTTCATTTCCTTTGCAAATCATAAATCTCACATTCTACAAATCTTGTCAAAACAGTCCCATATATACTGATGGATTATATAGACTCCGACCCCACGGTATGCCGACTACTGGGCCTGGACAGTGGCCCACACACGTTTAGCGGATTCACATTATTGTACATTATTATTATTAAGATGTTCTAGATTAGCTTTTTATACTATCAGTCCATTTATGTAACCGGGTCTGTCAGGCCCATATTAGAGGCTCAGACCCGGATTTTCCCTATATATACTCCCTTATGTAAGGCTTGTAAAGACACAACTCATAGAACTCATAGTTCAAATTCTATACACACTTATCTCTTTCTCCACATTCTTTGTTCAAATCTCTCATGTTCATACAATATGGGTATCAATTATCCAACAATGGTGCTCTCGTTGAGAGGTTGAATACAATCAAGTGAGAAAACCTCCCCAAAATACAAAAAATCTCCCAAATTAACCAGAAATTCACCCAAACCCCAGAAAATCAAGCAAAACACAGTCTGTCAAAAAGCCAAAAGAAAAGAAAAAGAAATGGAATTTCAGATGATTCTACAGATCTAGCGAGCTGTGGTCACAGGTCACTGTTCTGCCGGTCTGCCAGTTGGAGGTAGCTGCTCTATGAAACAAGTCGACGCAGGTCTAGAACGCACATGCTGCTCCCGATGTTACCAGTTGTTGCCAGCAAACCCGGAGCCATGGTCCCCGTCCGCCGTCTAACTCGACGGTCGCTCGAGGCCGCAGCAGTCTCTGGACCGCCGGTGTGGACAGGCCCGTCGTTGCTCCTAGGTCTTGTTGCCGCATAGCTGTCAGACGCAGGTCGTTCCTCATCGCAGCACCACCGCCCGCCGCTGTTCTCATAAGGCTCAAATTGAATCGTCGTCCTCGACGGTGCCGTGCGTGAGAATGCCTGCGGCTGACCCATATCTCGCCTTCATCGCCACAAATCTCTCTGCCGCCATCTAGAACTCTGTCCTTTGCATCTCTGTCCACAAAACTGGTCTGAGAGGCTAAGCGAGGGTTTGTCCGTCCGGAGACGGCCATAGTTGCGATCTAGTCAAGCGGCAGTAACCGTCTAGGGTCTCCCTCTTTTCTCTCGTTATCCAAGCAGTGGCAATGGCCCAAAGAATCTCCAGCAACGAAAGTAAGAGTGGACCCCTGCTTTTTCCGGCGACCCTTACTGTCCAACGGCGCCGGCAACCGAGGGCATCCCCGGCCGGCTGGAAGCTTTGTCAGCGGTATACCATGTCACCGTCCCTCTCGCCCTCCGCATCAAGGAGCTACTCTTCCCGTAACCCCAAATTCTTTTAGGTCAGGCTTGTCTCAAAACAGTGCGACTTCTTGGTTAGCTGGTGCTGGTGAGCTGCGCAGGTTAGAGACGAACTGGTGTGTGATTCTTAGTCAGACAAAGAATCAACATAATACAAATCAGTTGACCCACTCAATTAATTCACCTCACAGTACAAATTAATACTACGTATATGGCCTAGAAGAATCAACATAGTACAAATTAATATATGGCCTAAAATAATCCATAACGTGGATGGACTTAACTCCTCTGCCGAGAAAAATACGAAGCAAACAAATATCTAGCTTCTGTTAAAATATGTGGACCAGCAGATAACATTTAGTCCAGAACCAGTCTCAACAAAAATGGTGGGCCGTGGTTCTTGCAACAGATTCAGCCCACTTTAAAAAGATAAGTACTCTTTAATTTTCATATTATTTATATTTATTTAAATCATTATTTTTTGTCGGTTAAATGTCACACTATCACGCACTTATGATCAAATGCTTAGTAGAGTGTGGCTTGAGACCCATCACTAGGATTTAAAGCCCTGACTCCTCAGGCACAAAGTCCTGACTCCTCAGGCACAAAGCCCCGACCAAGTCGGGCATGAAGACAAAACCCCGACCAAGTCGGGTACGAAGACCGGTCTTAGTCATTCCTCGAGTGGCGACCGTTGCTTACGAATGGCTCACACATCCATTCTACTAAGTATTTATCATTACATTAACAATACACATCTCCACTTATTTTCAAGTAACGAACTCCCGATCGGAAACATAAATCCCAAGAAAAAGATTTCATAATTATGATAAATGTGTAGGTACAAAGATGACTTTACTCATTTTCACCTCGTCTCCACTCGCCTCAAAGAGTGGGGACTAGGGGACTGAGGGGTCAGAGTTTCTAGATGAGCAGAAAACATCACGCAAGAGCAGGAACGAGAGCTGAGTCAGTTGAAGAGGAGCTGAGCTAGATTGATTATGCCGGAGGGGATTTACCTTCCGTGTTTCATGTTGGGGGCGCTAGGTGTACTCTTTTTCCCTTTATTAGGATTTTTTCCCACTGGGTTTTTCCTAGTAAAGGTTTTTAACGAGGCACCTCCCCATCATTGACAAGGGTGGTGGTCCCCCGGCCGAAGAGGAAGAACGTTGCAGATACAGTTTGGACTACTCCCTTTCGCCTCGAGTACTCTCGACTCAGGGAGTGGGGGACTCCTGATGGATTATATAGACTCCGACCCCACGGTATGCCGACTACTGGGCCTGGACAGTGGCCCACACACGTTTAGCGGATTCACATTATTGTACATTATTATTATTAAGATGTTCTAGATTAGCTTTTTATACTATCAGTCCATTTATGTAACCGGGTCTGTCAGGCCCATATTAGAGGCTCAGACCCGGATTTTCCCTATATATACTCCCTTATGTAAGGCTTGTAAAGACACAACTCATAGAACTCATAGTTCAAATTCTATACACACTTATCTCTTTCTCCACATTCTTTGTTCAAATCTCTCATGTTCATACAATATGGGTATCAATTATCCAACATATACTTTTTCTTTTTCTTTCTATAAGTGTTTTCTCTTTTTTCTTTATCCTCACAATGCTTTTATTCTCTTTTGTTATTTTTATTTTCATTTATTTACTATGTTTATATTTATTTTTACCCATTTCTCATAAGTGTTTTATAGAACTTTCTTATTATGTTTTCCTATTCGTTGCATTCTCTTTTTCTGCTATTTGTTTATCTCCTCCTCCGATCCTCCTACTCCTCCTTCCACTCCCCCTCCCCTCTTCCTCCTCCTCCTCCTCCTCCTCTTCTTCTTGAAAAGAAGTGCACAGTTATTAATAAAGTGATTGAAAAAATAAAAGTTGTGGTTGAAGTTTGAGTATAATAAGGTGAAATTGTGTAGATCACATATTTCTTTCCAAATTAAAAAAGGAAACATGACACCGATTTTGGGATAAATCAAAATGAAAAATAAGACATTTAGAATGAGACGAAGTGAGAATAATTTTAAGGACAATGATAATATTTAACTCTTTATACTCGTATATAATAGTAAAGAATTTTATCAGTTCAGGACCTGAAAGATAGAAAAACTGAAAGATGAAATGTATCAGTATAGGACCTGAATGATGAAAAACTATCAATCTGGGACTTAACATTTCATAGGTTTTGATTTATTTAATTTTTTTTATTAATTTCATTGCTAAATTTTTGATAAACTTTTCTTCACAAAATTTATTAGTTTGATAAAAAGAAATAATATTCATTTTTTTTTTTAAAATTCTTAGATTGATAGTTCTCAATTATTCGGGTCATATATCAATACATTTCATCTTTTAGATCTCACATTAATAATTCATCTATCTTTCATGTTCTAAATTGATAAAAATCATAAATGATCAAAAAACAAAATTTGATAAAATATACTCCCTCTGTATCAATTTAATTGACTCATTTGCTTTTCACGCAGTTTAAGATAATTACTGTAGACTTTATTAAAAGTAAGAGGTTTTTGGTACTGTAGCGACACTGTAGCGGTACTGTAGCAGTACTGTAGCTGTTTTTTGAGTATGATTCTTTCCAAAAAGGGAAAGGGGTCAATTAATTTGATACCCCAAAAAAGGAAAGTGGGTCAAGTAATTTGATACGGAGGGAGTAGTTCATAATAATAACGACCATTAGATTGATTTTTTTGGAGGTGGTATATTTTATTTTTGAAAAAAGGTTGTTAATGCATGTGGTACTGTTGGATAATTGATACCCATATTGTATAAACAGGAGAAATTGAACAAGAGTGAAGAAGAAATGATCAAGAAGAAGGAAATGTGTATAGAATGAGTATTGGTTATATGAGTTACAAGCCTCCTATAAGGAGTATATATAGGGAAAATCCGGGTCTGGGCATCTAATATGGGCCTGACAGACCCGGTTACATAAATGGACTGATAGTATAAAAAGCTAATCTAGAACATTTGAATAATAATAATAATGTACAATAATATTAATGATATCCGCTAAACGTGTGTGGGCCGCTGTCCAGGCCTAGTAGTCGGCATACCGGGGGGTCGGAGTCCATATAATCCATCAGGTACTATCATCCGTTTCTTTTTAATCGCAACATGTTGAATTTTACATTATTCACATGCTCTACTTTGACTACACTTTACTCTATTATTTTATGAAAATTATTTTTTTAAAAGATATTGTTCAATTCATCTCATTACAAAATTTCAAAATCCGATTTTTTTTTTTTACTAATAAGATAAAATTATGGGAGGAAGTATGTAATATACTTGTACCTAATATTACTCAACTACTCAGTGCTCAGTAACTAACCAACGATAATAGTAATCCGTTCATAACAGAATCCTATTTTAATGATTGCTTAATTCGATTTCAAGCGTCGTGAATCCTTTCTTCTCGATGCATATATATATATATATATATATATCCAAAAATCATTTGATCCAACGAAGAAATGTGATCGGGAATGGATTTGATCTTTCATCCGGAAAAGGGCTCCCGTTTCACCATTGAAGTTGGCTACTTCGACACCGTGTTGGAGATAAAGGAAAAGATCCAGAAGCTCCGGCGCATTCCCGCCGCCGCACAAACCTTAGTCTTCGCCGGGGAGGTGCTCCCGGATGACCTCGACGTCCACCACTCCGACATCCTCCACAACTCCCACATTCGTCTCCTGGTCTCCAGCGAATCCCCTTCGCCGTCTCCCCCGGCGGCGCGCAAACCCATCCGCGTCTCCTTGAAATTCCGGGGGTCCGACAAACCTGGCGTTTCACTGGAAATGGACGCCTGCGACACCATCCGGGCTTTGAAGGAGAGAATTAATAAAGAAACGGGGGGAACTCCGGCGGCTGGTCGCCAGGTAGCGGTTTATGTAAACGGAACGGAGTTGCTGGATGCCCGGACTTTGGGTGATTACGAACTTGCCGAAGATTCGGAAATAGAGGTGGGCGCTAATAAGGTGAAGCCTTCTCCGGCGACGTCGTCCGGCTCGTCTGGAAACGCAAGCGGGAGTGGGACGAAGAAGCTTCTCCGGGTTATGGTATTGTCGAAGTGCGGGACGAAGAAGTTTGCGGTGGATGTGAATCCGGCGGATAAGGTGGGAGAGCTGAGGAAAGAGCTTGAGAGGTTGAAGGAGGAGCAGGATTTGGAGCTGCCGGAAGAAGGGTACTTCTTCATCTACAAGCAGAACGTGATGGACGATGATCGTTCATTTAGATGGCACAGTGTGGGCCAGAGTGAGACCATTGAGATCTTTAATGGGAGCGTCTCAGGGGGGAATTGAACCATGCATAATAATTTTACATTTCACTTTTGTTTTAATGTTTACTTCGAATTTTCTACTCACAATACAAGGATAGATCGATGTTGTATAGTATAGCACTATAGCCCTATGAAAGAATGAACACTATTAAAACTCTTTCTAATGGTCCGTGCATGCAAGCTTGTCATTGCATATCATACAATCTGTTGAACTTTTAAGTGCTCAAGTGTCGAGCATTTTGAAACACACATACATAAATACATTACATACATTCAAATTTTGGTCCGAATAAAAGAAAATCTTCAAAAGTTGACATTGGATCCGTTTGTTTTTTTGGCGGTTTCACACCAAACCACTCCAAAGAGCAGCGTTTCGCTTTGTAAAAAATTGGCGGTTTGGCCTAAGCCGCCGATATCCAAACAGGGGCATTGCATGATTGCAACTATGTCATTAAAGTAAACATTTAATCAATCACTTGGCTACACAACTTAAAAATTTAGAATCCTTTGCACAAAATTTGTATGGTCATTAGATTCCCAAAATTAATAAGATTAGGTAAATTCTCATTTTAATATCTTCTTTGTCTCAAAATTAACTTCATTCTTTCATTTTTCGTCTATTTCAATATACTCTGTTTTCCTTTTTGCCAAAAAATCTGTGATTTAAGACATTTTTTTTCTTTTCTGCCTCCTCTGCATAACTTTAAGTCACACACATCTCAATTCTTATTCTCCCTGTAAAGTCAAAACAAAAGTTACTTATGAGACGGGTGGAATGGTTTTCATTTAGAGAGGGAGAGGGAGATAGTGGGGAGCTGTGAGGCCTAGAAAGAACATGTAATTCGACAGTAATATATATGTGTATCTATGGAGAAATTTAATAAGTTCCGTTCCAATATTACAATACGGATACGAAATGTATTGTTTTTAAAAGTGCCAGTGTGCGACAATAAAAAACAGTACAAACTACCACTCGGAAACAAAAACCTACAGTTCTACAGCACCTCAGGTCCTCTTCCTCAATCACCCTACCATCAAGTTTTAATTTGTGGTGCGGTGATGTAATTTGGGGGGGGGGGGGGGGGGGCTTACAAGGGAGTAGAAGGTGGCAGTGTCGGGCCTGCTTAGAGATTTTCTTTGTTACTCACTCGCACTTGATGGAGCGGTATATGTGACGAACAAAGAATAAGGAAGCGCGGAAACCGACGGTGCCGAGCATGAGCAAGAAGCCATAGCAAATACAAGCCATGTACCCAAAGAAGAAGGAGGTTTGCATCAACCCTGACATATCAGAACGTGCATAGTAGTAATAGAGACAGTATGCGTAGATGAATAATCCGGTTGATCCACCGCAAAGGAATGACCTATTATTGACCAACAAAATTACACATGCAAAAATCAGAACAAGCTTGCAACCACAATATTGCCTAACCCTCGAATGGAAGTTTCAACAGCAGGTTGCATACCCTTAGTAGGAAAATGTATAAGGCTCAGTTTACATTTTCTATTTGTCTAGACCAAATATTGTATAAGTAGAACAACTTATTTCCTAGGAAAACATTTTCCGCAAGTTATTTTCTGGAAACAAACAGGACCCCTTCCAGTAAGTGTTCTCCATAGTAAATGTTTTCTTTTTTCGTAATATTTCTGGAAAACTAATAATATAATGTTCAACACACAAAAGGGAATTCATTTGACAGAAAACTAACTTCCTATTTTGCAAACAGGAAATATTTTGCTGCGAGGTTTCAAATAATCCCAAAAAAACTCTAGAAATTTTGTTTTCCCACTGACAAACACAGGTAAGTCCAGAGAATCTTTTCAGGAACATAATATTTGTCCTCAAAACAAACAGAGCCTTAACTCCCTTCCAAAACACAGGTATGCACCCTGAATGGTGTACATAATGGGAAGAACCCCCCCATCGATCAACTCAAGGTGAAAAGAAAGCAAATATGCAAAAAGAAAAGAATATCATTTATAATAATAATAATAATACAAAGGAACATTAAACACTCAAACCATCATAACTTACCTCCACCACCACTCATGGTCTTCGGCAGCAAGTTGAAAGTAGGTCAAAGCAACCGTAATAAAGGCAGTAACAATGAGCAGAATAAGGAAGACAATAAACAGGATGCTGTAAATTGTGTAAATCCTGTGGCCCCAAACACTAGCAAAAATGTAGTAAAGTTCAATGTATATGGCACTGAACGGCAAAAAACCAGCCATCGCCATCTGAGGTAGGGCTCCACGATACCAAGGTAATGGTGGGATTTCTCTTGGGTATTTGGTTGTACGGCAAGGAGCTTGAAACTCAGCCTTGCTATTCTTTCCGGCAATTCCTCCCAAGACGAGCAAAGGTGATGTCACAAGTGCCCATATTAAAAAGATAACCACAATGGTGCCAAATGGCAGTGCTGCCGTGGCACTGTAAACAATGGCTACGGTGTTCAAGAAAGAAAAGGTGAGGAGCAGGGGCCCACAAAACAATGCCCCAGTCAATAACAAATTCCTGACCTGTAAAATAACAATACTTCTTTATTATTATTATTATTATTATTATTATTATTATTATTATTATTATTATTATCAGTTGGAAATAATAGTTCAAATATCCCAAACTTTGAACATGCATGTGCTGAATAACCAAACTTGCATAGTTGCATGTGTGATATAAATAACATGAATTTTATGATTAAGGTTATCTTAGCACCATGACAAAGGATTTTTTTTGTATAAAAAATGTATGTTTACAGTATTTAAGTACACCATTTAAATACTTTGAACATTTAGAGGGGTGCACTTAGCATCATAGGTTTCCATTTGTGAAATAAAAAATTTGTGTTCATAATTTTGAGATCGCCTACATTTTAAATTTTAATATATTTATTTTAATGCAAGTTTGGTGTATTGAGCTCTCATCTCTCCAAAGTAAGATATTTGTATCAGTAATCCTTATCATCATCAGCAGCAACATCGTATTTATTATTATTATTATTATTATTATTATTATTTTTATTATTACTATTATTACTATTACATATCAGAAATAGTATAGACGTAAAGATCAGACTTCAAATGTAAAACAAACTATCAAATGCATTCTAAACAAAGATCCATTTATCAAATAAACTCATGAACATACCCAGTTTGTTCCTTCTAGTTGGCAATAGAAAGAAGCAGAAGTATAGCCAGCAATTCCAGAAGTAAGAGCATATATGACTACCAATGCAGTAAAAAGAGCACCTCGGTTGTAAGGGTAGAACACACCAACCAGAGCAAGAACAAAAATAAAGATTGTCCTACGAAATGGAAGCATGGAAAGGTCAAGAACAGCATTGAAAATTGTAGAAGCTCATTTGAATTTTAATACACTCGCCTCCCTATAAAAGACCCATATTTCAAAACAGCTTCCCCCTAAAAGAGGATCATGTTTGATCCCATGAAATTTAATTTGGAAAAATTGAAATAATCCCAACCATTGTTGGTCCACTGTTAATAATCCCAACTATCAATTATTCCTGGAATTATTAGCTTATTTCATCCCAAACAATCATCAAAATTTTAAATCTATCCTATTCTTTAATTTTTATCAAAAAAGACTCGAACTTCATTTTTTCAACATTTATGTTTTTCTGTTTTGTTTTTGCAAAATCACACATTTTTATCAATACCAATACTTTTTATGTACTAGTATTAAATTTCATAATTTTTGTTAATTGTTTAATTCTTTTTTTTCATGAATTAGCAAGAACTTAAATCAAACCTAAAAATTAATTTTGTAAAATAATCTATAATTGCAAATTTTGTAATAAAAGCTTAAAACTAATATAGAATGACACTCCAACTAACCAGTGAACTAAGTAGCTAATATATTTATGTTTTTATAGAAGTTGCTAAAATAGATTAAACACTAATAACTAACTAATACGATAGTATTTATTTAATACGATAGTATAATTTATTTGTTACCTAGAAAATTTTGAACTCTTTCTATATAGTTGTATGTGAAAATTTCATCTTTGTAGCTATCTTTCACATGTTAATCACCTAAAGTTGATTAATTATAAGTAATAGCTATCTTTCACATGTTAATCACCTAAAGTTCATTAATTATAAGTAATACAAATTATATTACAAGTACAAAAAGACTATTTTTTTGAAGAAAAAAAGGTTTTGTATAAAAAAGATACAAGCAATACAAGTTTATAAACTTAAAACTAGAAAAAAATGAAAAAAATAATATATATGAATATGATTTTCTTCTTAAATTTTACTAATTCATCTATTGAAAGTGTAATTGTGAGAAAAGTTGAAGTTTGGGTATTTTATAAAATAAGTGAAAGAATAGGATAAATTTGTAAATTTGATGATAGTTGGGGACATATTTAGCTAATAATCCTTATTCCTGGGTGGTCCCAACTATAAGGGTCATCATCCAAAAATAGTCCCTTGTGACCGATCACCGGTTGTCCAGGTTAAAAAATACTCCGTATATATTTATAATAATCGAACTATGGTTGATCCATTTTTAGTAGTCCCAATATAATAAATCAAAAACGTTGCAAATAAACTGAAAAATAGTACTGCATCCTTGTCAATTAAACTTTCATATATATTACCTCCGTCCCAAAAAGAGTTGCAAATTTGACTTTTCTTAGTCAAACTGTCTCGTTTTGTTCACTTAATTGCGATGCCAATTTTTAATTATATTCTAATTTGGAGTTTACAACTTTAAAGAGATTTTAATGTATTTTATGAATATGTAAATTTTAATTATTAAAAATTGAATTAATTATCCAAAAGAAGGGTTGACTTTTATTATTGGTTGACAAAAAATTGTTGACTTTGCAAAACAAATTGGGACGGAGGGAGTACTTTTTTAGAAATATTTTATTACATGTACCACTTAAATTTTAAATCACCATATACTTTTTTAGAACAAAATATGTAAATTTGAATAAGGAAAATAATAATTGGTAACACAACTGGGGAAAAGAAATTGGAAATATATTAATATATAAATTAAAAAATGACTAAAAGTTTTTTAACCTCGGTACGTATTTAGAATTTTGTAATTATTTTATAGTGTAAAAATATTTAGTTTGAACATTTATAAAAGTATTTCTACATCTTCCATAAATTGAGAGTTGATAATTGGGA